GTGTGTGTGTGAGTGTGTGTGTATGAGCAGGGGGATAAGGACGATGGTTTGAGAATGAAAAAGGTAGGGTGGAAGAATGGGACCAGGGAGTGACGGATTGTGAGTGAAAAAGGAAAAGTTGAAGAAAAGAACACTACTGATTGTGAGCACAAGAAAAAAAAAGGCGCAAGAATAGAACGATAGAGTGTCAGTTAAAAGGGAGAAATAGAAGAGTAGAATGAAGGAGTGTGAGTAAAAGGATAGGAGAACAAAATGTTGGGGTGATGGAGTGTGGGTGAAAGAGGAAGGGTGCAAGATAGGACATTGGAATATAAATTTTAGAAGAGAAATTGAAGAAGGGCAGAATAACGGGAAATGAGCAGAGAACAAAAACAAAACATAAAAAAACCAGCTTAGACGCATTGTATACATATTGCGTCATTTTAATATTCAGCGATTTTCTATCGAAACGATAGAGGGGACATAATCAATAGATTGAATGAAGCAGCCTGCCTACTGTTACGCCCCTTTTACGATTTATTTCTTGATGTCAAACCCGAGCCGAGAAAAATGTTGCTTCCTTGAAGTGTCTTTGATTATAGACAAATAAATAAATAAATTTGAATAATTGAATAAATTTGAATAAAAGAATAAAGGAATAAAGAATACATGAATAAATAATAAATGACTGTGTCCCAAATTTCTTGCTTTTCGCTTTCCCACCACCACGAGGGGCGGCTCGTGGGGCTAAAAAGTGGGTGTGCACAATAATAATTAAGCTATGGCATGCTGAAGATAGTCAAGGGCATAGTAAATGAGACGGTGTATAATTTTAGGATCTTTGGGTTGGTGAGGGAGGGCCTCGTGGTTTTATTTTCATTTTTCTTACTTGTCGCATTGATTTCTAGTACTAAATTTGTTTGTTATCTAAACATCAATTTTGTTCATATTGTATTGAAACTGAACACTCAAGTACATGTAATAACTTTCACTACTCCACTCCAAAACCATTTAAAGGCACAACTCATAGGACGATCACGTTCACCTCCCTCAGGTTCACGGCTACAGAGTTACTTAAAATAGTGGCAAGACAAACAATGAACCAATCATAATTCACTTGAGCACTCCGCTGGATTGCTCCGGGGCTCACATAATACTGGCAAAGAAGAGCGTAGGGTCTATCGTGTTTATTTTTAGACTGCCTACTCTTGGCTATGTTTCGGCACTACTCGGCAGGAGCACATTTGAGATGTGCCGGCTATTGATATTAATGTACCGCCAAACTCGCTTCGAGTGTCGTCATCGCTTGGTTTATCTCCAAGAGCGATTTATAGGTCAGGTTACACTGTTGAATATCCTTTTCTGCTTAGCTAAAGCGCGTGGACTTTGGCATAGCATAGTAGATGTTTTACGGCGCTATAGACATAGAAATGACAGTTATGGCGCCAGTGAGGACCTTCGTTTTGATATAAATTTGGCTAGTGTTTGTTTCTGGCTTCTTTTATTTGATTATTGTGGGTGTTTTACGTCATAGAACATTCAAAAATTTGGGGCGGCACTACACGACCGTGCTCAATGGACGAACCGCGCCTGCCCACCACCCCTTTTGTTTTAACAACTGTTTGTTCCATTTTCCTACGTATCCGCTTTCAGATATTATGGGTCGAAGATGCTCCGTTCTGGTACAAATCAAGGCAGTTGTTTCCCCAACAGAAATACAGATAGTGGTGAGTTGTCACATTCACACTACCTTTAATGTGGTTTTTGTTATCGATCCAGCAACATCTGGGTTCTTGCTCTTCTGTCCAATGCCACGCAGTGATAAGTGCAGGTTTGCTGCAGTTGCAGTAATATTCCATATTATAGTGTGTTATCAATGTTAGGTCTCGGAGGGAAAAGTGCAGCTCTGGTGTCATTTAAGGCCATACAGAGGAAAAGGGGATGACTACAGAGGGAAAGGTGATGATCCACAGTCATAGTGACACAAAGGACACTTTGGGGGGAAGTTCTGGTTTTATTCCACAATCTTTAATACACAGTGGCCTACAAACTTCCGATCGGATTCTATAATTGATTGAGTTGGGACTAGCCAGATTTTCCTTCATAGAAGGGCAGAACCTACCATTTGGGCACAATACGACCGATGCAACTCGTGACCTTGAAAAACTCTCTTCCATCTTTTCTGCTGGGGTAATGAGAGTTCTAAAACACATAGAACATGCTGCGGAGCCCGGACAAGTACTTGGTAAATGTTATTGTTATTATTATTATTATCATTATTATTATTATTATTATTATTGTTATTATTATTATTATTATTATTATTATTATTGTTATTATTGTTATTATTGTTATTATTGTTATTATTATTATTATTATTATTATTATTATTATTATTATTATCAAACATTCTAACGTACGCAGTTTCCCACCACTTTATACACAGGATGTCTTAGGTCGCAAAGCCAGTGTGTACTTTCTGAGCCCGCCGGGTAAGCGATATCATCACCACACATCCCAGCCTCCGCTCTTCCTGCCCCTGTCTCAGTGCCTGTGTTTCGCCACCCATCTCGTGCTGCTGGATGCGTGGTGGGAAAGGGGCGTGGTCAACGTCTATAACCTGGACACAGTTCACTTCGTGTTCACGACAAGCAAGTAGACTGACGCAACTTGCCATAGCTCATTTACCTTTGGTGGATGGATGGATTTTATGGACGCTGATAATGCGTGTTTCTTTTCAATTTTCTCTCTTTTATTGAGGATGTAGTGGACATACATGTACATTTATATTGTTCATTGGATCTGAGCATTTTCATCGATTTTTCTTTTTGATTCCAGTCTTTTCTCAGTTTTGAAATCTTTGCTGCCACACACATCCGCAAATCTTTCCTATCACTATCAAACATTTATCGTCCTTATTTCTCTTCCTTCTTTTTTGTTTGTTACTCTCTTGTAACACTAATATAATTCGGCCCTTATATATGACCTAAAACATACTAAAACATCCACAAGTGGGAAAGGAGATTTTGAATATTCAAAATGTGGCAAACACTTATCTACCAGAAGTGGTTTCATTGATCACAGCAGGAGCTCCAAATCCGGTCACTTCTTATGTCATCTATTTCTCTTAAGAATATTCTCCTCTACAGTTGCATTGTTCATCATTAGACATTGACGGACAAACTAAATGTATTAGTACAGTGGACATTGCTTGACGTAGCCACCCATATTTGAGGAGCAAAGTTGTTGTCTTTGACTACTGTACATCTTGCACTTCGTCACTATTGTAAAGAAAAATGAAGAGAGGATATTGAAACTGGCTGTTTGTACAAGAGGCTATTAAAGCAGGTTCAACTGTATTATTCATGTGAGCTCGACGTCCAGTACATTGATGTCTGGCTAGCCCATGATATGTAACCAGTCTCGTTACTATGAGAAACGACGTGTAGATGAACAGAGAGCAGCTTCAATACCCAGCCTATTGGCGCTGGATGGAATTTGTTCACATGTAAAACAGAACTGTAAACAGGCCTAGTTTACACAGGTCCAGTGTTATTCCTAAATTATATTATTATGTCCTAAAAATAATATGTTCTAGACTTATTTCCTGAAGTTTCGCATTACTAGCTTCGTTTCATTCCGTAATTTACCACGAGAAGGTAGGAGCATTCTATGGTTCTAGCGCTGAACAGCCTGCTTGGCTGTTGTCATGAATTCGCTTGATGTTGAATGTCATAGAATGCTTCTTATCTGTGTTTTGAATAATTATGAAACGATATTACCAGGCGAATAGAGGAAGTCAGTCAAGTTTCTGTAAAGGCTAGTGAATTTAAACACAAAAAATGTGTATACAGTCCGGCACAGTTGACACCAACACTCAAAACTCAAAATCACGGACAGCTCGCATTGTTTACCATTCCCCGACTGGCTCACTATAATAATATACTCTTTATTAATTTTAGCTTCACATGTAGCCCAAAACCTGTACGTCCAATTACTTTGAAATTGTCACACATGTCAGGGAAGCTCATTGTCGTTCATGAACTGTACTCACTTAGATGCTCTGGTCTATCGTTTTGTCTGACGATGTTCACGTGGTTTTGATATTTTGTCAAATACTGTGCACATATAACTTTGAAACCAAAACTACACCCGCAAAGTTGGACTCCTTCCAAATTTTTCGCCATGCAAAAAAGTGTCTTCTCTTTATCAATTCACCATGCTTCGACTAAATGAATCAGAGAGAAATTACATCATTGGAATGCTTCAGGAGGACACACCACTTTCGTCAGTCGTGGGAAGGTTCAACGTGAACTGACACGCTGTGTTTGCCATACGGGATCACATGGCAACGATAGGCTCCCAGAAGGACAGACCCAAGCGAGTAGGACACAACAGATAAAACGGAGGGTGGACCCATTCATCCCTAACACAACGCTGGAGAAATCAGATTCAATCAGGAAACAAAGACCCAGGATTAGTCGAAAAGACTTAGAAATGAAAGTCCGATCTTTGTTATGACTGTTCTTCTTCGTTTGAAAGAGGGGAACCTTCGCGTTAGGGGCCTAGTTTATGGCATAAAACTGCAGCCCCATCACCCCCAACACAAACTTCACTGGGCACAGCTTCGCGTGTGATGGCCAAGGCAAAATCAACCAAGTTCTAAAGCTCAATGTAGGCCTACTTTTCTTTCAAAACTGAGCACAAGGACAAGCATTCATGCGCGACAATACACCTGCCTATAAGTATAAGGCTGCTGTGACAAATCAATTTCTCTACTAGCACAAGCAACATTCTGCTCGTGCACCCATGACCAGCGCATTTACTAAATCTCGATCCAATTGAGCGCATGCGGGACATTTTAGACCGCCCCATTCATGCCAGACTACGTTGGCCCCGATCTGTTGCTCAGTTAGAACAAGCCTTAATTCAAGAGTGGTATATTATCCCTCAATAGACAATACCTCGAGTCATCCTGTCCATACGTCAACTATGAGAAGATTTGACAACGCCAGATGTCATCACATGTTGCTGAAAGCTGTCACTTTTCATTAAGACCCCTGACAACTATAAATTCAAAATTGAAGATTAAAAACATTATTGATTTTGCATTCCACGTATTTCCGTTTCTGTAAAACGAATGCACTGTCTTAATTGAAATATTTAGGCGGATTCGATAAGTATTAATCAAGATATTGCTTTTAATATGAGGTGTGGAGTTAAAAATGTTAAAGAGTATATTGCTTGCACTGGCAACACCTTTTTCTCAAACACCCGTATGGATTCGTCGACAGTCGAACAGCTAGCCTCGAACCCCCCCCCCCCCCCCCCAACCAAAACAAAAAAAAACAACCAAAAAAAACCCATAGAAAAGAAACAATTAGTAGATTCTAGATCTATTTCCTCACAATTGTCTCGAATTCAAATCGCTCTGTGCGCATGATGGAAAGCAAAGCAAACATTGTCATGCGTATCAGAGTACATTATAAGATTATACTACGAACACACCAGGTTCACCCCGCATAGTAAAGTGATATACACACACACGCGCGCGCGTGCACACACACTCTCTCTCTCTCTCTCTCTCTCTCTCTCTCTCTCTCTCTCTCTCTCTCTCTCTCTCACACACACACACACACACACACACGCTCACACACACACACATAGAGAGAGAGACAGAGAGAGATAGATAGATAGAGAGATATAGATAGATAGATAGATAGATAGAGAGAGAGAGAGAGAGAGAGAGAGAGAGAGAGAGAGAGAGAGAGAAAGAGAGAGAGAGAGAGACTCTGTTGGTATTGGCACACACACACTGTTGGTACCGAGACGCATCATCGCACATTACCTGCAGTGTCCGTATGGCACCAACACTTCTTTGAATTTAGTCATGTGAGAATGGGTGCAGTTACTAGAACATGCAATAACGGGTAGGCCCCGCCTTGTACCTCAGCAGGAGTTGTCTATTCACAATATCGGACGTGTTTGTGGTGCCAGACTGAATATGAAGGTGGTGAATGTTTTTGTACCATACGTGCATTATTTTAACCAATAATTCATGTTCAATATTATGTGATATGATGGAATAGCCAGTGGTGTCGCGTGGGTTACAGACAAGGTGGTGCATAATTGAAAAGTAAGCAAATGGGCAAATGGCTAAGTAGCTACTATTAAGATTTCTTGAGAAAGTCAATTAGAATCTGCAGGATATCCCGTAATATACCAATGGGTCCCGCCACTGATAGCTTATTTCTTTTGTTACCATTTTTGCTGTTGATTTTTGCATGCAAAGATTGCTTATTGTTGATTTATTATGAAACAATAATAAACAAACAAACGTACAGACCAAGGAAATTTTATGCCCTCTCAAATTTATTTGGAAAGTGCTATGGTATACCCCACAACGTCATATCATTTTTCATCGCAAAGCGACAACGAAGTTTGGACATTCAGTGTCGCTGATGAGCTGTACAATACACCTCATTTGAGAAAAAATAGGAAATAGTGAAAGCAAGTTGTTTAAGCACGGACGCCTGGTGTCAATTGGAACAACGTGGAAGTACGTTCACGAAAAGACAAATGCAGTTTCTGGGACACCTGAATAGACATAAAGTTTGTTTTTGTAAGGTTTTACGGCGCTCGCAACTGCATAAGGTCATATGAGCGCCAATATAGACATAAAGACCCAGAACAACTGGCTCTCATTGGTAAAATTGAGTGCAGACGAGGTGTAACCCAGAACAACCTCTTTGGAGACCCATAAACAGATAGGTGACGGTGAAAGGTTAAGAGAACCATGTAGCTTTATTTAAAAAAATAGTATTGAAGCTAAGGAATGAAAAGAAACCATGATCGCCGGTGTCTGTCACAAATCTGGTACTTGATGATGATGATGATGATGATGATGATGATGATGATGATGATGATGATGATGATGATGATGATGATGATGATGATGATTTTTTTTTGTTTCCTTAATTAGGGAGCCTGGCGGACTCCTCGAAGAAATCTTCGAGCGAGAGCGAGGCTCTTTTTCGGCTCCATTGTCAATATGCTTAGCGGCACCTCCACTCGTCCAAATAACGCCATTCGAATTGCTATTGTTCCTGGACATTCAAATATATATTTTGACATCCTCCTTTTCATGGCTGCATCTTCGGCAACATGGGCTGAGCTCTTCATTTACAAAGTTCTTATTCCATCTTAAGCTCCAATGATGGTCCGACCGCTGTCTCGCTTGCTCGACCTGGTCGACATGTGATACATGTATTTTGTTCTCGCTTATAGGAGTACCCAGAATACACATCTTCCAGGTGCTGGTACTTAGCTCTGCATGGTGGGTCTCTGATTTCCCTCTTGATCTGTATGTTGTTGGTCGTCCGTCTACTTCAATCTTTCTGTCTTCATAAGCAGCTTGGTCTGCTGCCTCATTTCCTTCTATTCCAACATGGCTTGGAATCCACTGGATTTTTATTGTGTCTGTGGATTCACTGAACTTGCGGCGCAAATCATATTTGTCCGAGCTATTGCCAAGCAACCCCTTGCAGAGGGACTGCCTGTCAGTCTATATCAGCACATTGGTTCTACTGTGGCAATTGTCAGCAATACATTATGCAGCAGACATCATTGATGTAAGAAATGCACTTTTAGTTTTAATAATTTCTGTTCGTGGTGGTTCATCATTCATTATCACCACTGCTGCTGCTCAACCTTCGAGGTATCCCACGACAGCCGATTCATCGGTGAAAATTGTCACATCCGCACCAACCTCTTTAATCACATCCTCTTCAGCTTCACGTACCTTTACAGGCATCACCTTTGCCTTTTACGCCTCTCAGTTCTGTCCGAATTTCGATTTAGCCATGGGTCTCCCATGGACAAGCTCTCACCAGATTGATCGGCCATCGATTCACTGCTTCAGGGGGGAGGTGGTCTGCTAGATCGGTGCCCATCCGAAACCAACTTTTCCTGCTGTTTTTAGGCTTGACTGCTTGATCAAGGGCTTTCTTTCTAGGATGGTTGTCTGGTAATCTCTTAGCCATCTCTACAGACTTGAGGCATGTTCTTTTTGTATAGGTGGTGTAGTGCTCAGTTCTGGTCTCATAGCGCAACGCTTCTGTTGGTGTTGTTTTCAGCTGACCTGATACAAGGCGGAGGGCTTTGTTTTGTATTCTGTCCAGGGCCTTGCACTAGTCTCACTCAGCCAAAGCTGCCACGCTGGGGCAGCATAATCCATCTTGCTTTTCACAAACATCTGATATATTTTCTTGAGCGACTCCTTACCCCAGCCCCATTTTGAGTTGCTGACAGCACCGATAACCTTCATTTTTGAGGTTGCACTTTTGGACACTTTTTCAATGTGCTTGTTGAAGGTTAGCTGTCTATCCAGGTAGACACCCAGCAGGCGTGGAGTGGGGTTGAATGGTATCTTTTATCCTTCGATCTGAATTATTGGTTGCCACGTTGCCTCCTTCATCCATGTTGAGAAGAAGCACACCTCACTCTTGGTAGCCTTCAATGTAAGCTTCCATTCATTGCTCCAATTCACAACCACGTCCACAATCAACTGTGTCGCTTTATTTGCCTTTTCTCTCTTCGCGTCAGTGGCCAATATTGTGCAGTCATCAGCGAACATGGAGTAGATCAGCTTGGCGGAGGGAGGCTAGTTGTTGTGAGTTAGGGTTTGGGAAGGATTCTGCCAGGTTGTTTGTGAAGAATATAAACAGCAACGGTGATAGTACAGCTCCTCGGGGAAGCCCTTACTTGAAATTCTGTCTCTTGTGTGTTTCTCAAAGTGGCAAGCCGTCCCCTTCACGATGGGGAGTACCGTTCTCAACGAAGACAGCCACAACCAATGGGGAAGCTCTGATGATGATGATGATGATAATGATGATGATGATGATGATGATGATGATGATGATGATGATGATGATGATGATGAGTCTTTATGGAAACCCTATCCCACAAACTTGATTAGGGTGTTTTCCTCAGTATGGCAACCTCAGTCTGAATATTACACCCCCCCAAAAAAAAAAAGAAAGAAAAAAGAAACCCTTTCATAAAAAATATGACGACATTCAAAAATCCAACGAAAACATTCTTGAGTTGCGAGATGTTAACTCTTCGAGATCTAGAGGACACACTAAAAATTATGTCCGACCTGCAATAGAGAATACGCAATGTCGCGCCACATTTCGAACTATCGAACAGAAATCAGAAACACGAAATTTCAAATTTCGTTATTCATAAAATGTATTCTGTTGCATGACACTTTGAGTTTCAGATAAAGAGTTGAAAGATTGGTATAAATAACGATATTCATATATATATATATATATATATATATATATATATATATTTATATATATATATATATATAATATATACATATATATGCTTCTTGTTTAAAGTGCCCCAAAAACAGCGCGTCTTCAAGCGTTGTTGAATGATCAAAATGCGCGTCTCAGTGAGCTAAAAGTGTGTCACTCGGTGTTGATATTATAGGTGTGTCACTCAATGATTAAAGTGTGTCACGCGGTGTTGATATTAACGGTGTGTCACTCATGTTAAAGCATGACACTCAATGTTAAACGTTTGTCACTCCGAGTTAAAAGTGTGTCGCTCTATGTAAAAGGTATGCCAATTGATGTGAAAAGTGTGTTATCACTCAATGTTAAAAATGTTTCACTCTATTCCAATAGTGTGTCATCACTCTATGTTAAAAGTGTGTCACACGATGTTAAAAAATGTACCAATCTATGTTAAAAGTGTTTCATCCTATTTCAAAAGTGTGTCATCACTCTATGTTAGACGTGTGTCACTCGATGTTTAAAAGTGTGCAACTCTATGTTAACAGTGTGTCACGCATGGGATCCTGGGATGTCCGAGGGAACGATATCTCTCACATTGATCGTAGTCAATGTATTCAAATTACTGCCCGATCCTCCATTGGCATTTCTGGCGTGGGGCTGGGTTTCTTGAAAGGCGTGGCCAACAGTCTGTGACGCGATCACGCTTCCACTTCCGGGGACAGTGAGGTTTCCCGATACGCCCATGGTGAGTCTGGTGCTGTTGCTGGTGTTGAAAGTGGTGATGCCGTCGCGGTGGTAGTTGTGGTAGTTGGGGTTGTTCTGGTCTTCGTTGTTGCTGCTGTGAGCTGCCCTGCCGATGCTGGTGGTGGGGATGAGGTGGACAGCAGCGTAGATTTTGGGGAGGAAGAGGAAGATGACGGCTACGGTGTGGTTGACGATGAGGGAGAGGGAGAGGAGGAGTGTCTTCAGGTACTGGGGATGAATATAATATAGAGCGAGTGAGAGAGTAAATAAAAGGAAAACTGAGAGAAATAAGCCCTTGAGACCACAAGCTGAAGTAACACAAGTGAAAAGGAAAATACGACTTGTCTTATATAGATCTCCCACTAGGGGGAAACTAGTGTCACAGTCGCAATGGTATGTTCTAGAGCAATGCATTGTGATTGCAGTTGTTTTATGCTCTAATCGACGATAAGTAGATAAGGACCAAACCCTAATCGACACTATTCAGATAATTAAAGATCATAAATAGATAAGTAGATCTTCGAACAGAGGCAAGCAATTTCCTAATGGTTTGGGTATTGGAGAGAGAGAGAGAGAGAGAGAGAGAGAGAGAGAGAGAGAGAGAGAGAGAGAGAGAGAGAGAGAGAGGGAGAGAGAGAGAGAGAGAGAGAGAGAGAGAGAGAGGGAGAGAGAGAGAGAGAGAGAGGGGGGGGGGAGGGAGAGAGAGAGAGAGCGACAGAGAAAGAGAAAGAGAAAGAGAAAGAAAGAGAGATAGAAAGAAAGAGATAGATAGATAGACAGATAGATCGATAGAGAGAGAGGGAGGGAGAGAGAGAGAGAGAGAGAGAGAGAGAGAGAGAGAGAGAGAGAGAGAGAGAGAGAGAGAGAGAGAGAGAGAGAGAGAGAAGGAGGGGATTCGAACGGAATTAACCTTTACCCTTTGACACACCTGTCTATTGGCTGTGAAGTAGGTAGGCACAAAGGCCATCCAGATGATGAGCGTGGTGTAGACACACAGACTGATGAACCGGGATTCGTTAAAATTGTCTGGAAGTTTGCGAGTCTTGAAGGCGAACACGCTACACAGCCCCACCAGAACGAGGTTGTAGGACAGGAAGGAGGCCAGGCCAGGGATTGTCCAATCACAGCTCAGCTCAACGTAATTTTCTGTGAGGGACCATGGAGAGCGACGGCGATGAATACTTTTTGTAGTCTGAGTATATTAGTGTCACGATGCGGTGGAACCAGGCTCTCGTCAATTTTTGGCTGATATAATCTTATAATATAGCTTGTTCAGTTACCTTGCTTTAGGCGAAAAAGTATTGAATAGAAGTCGAGACATTTGCGATTGAAAGAGGTATAAGAGGTAAAATGAACAGGAGCAAGGCCGCCAAAGTTTGGTGACTTCCAAATCTTGAGTATCCTTGGAAACTGGAAATTTACATTTTTTTCCATGCCTTTAATGAGCGTTTTTTTTTCGTTAACACCCACAAAGAAACGCGTTTTTAAAAGGGCATTAAAAGATGTTGAACCAATTAAAAAAAATAATTACGTTTTACGGCACTGTCAACACACTTTTTTTGTGCATGCACGCACCCCCCCCCCCACACACAAATTGTCCAAATATCAACATCTATTGTTACTGATTTCTTTTTTAATGTAGATTTTTTTCACGCTACATTGACACAATTTAAACCATTACTCGAGTCTCTTACTTGTGAAGACGCAGTGCCTAACCGCTAATATTTTATTGATGTTGATTTTTTTTGAAAATCAAAGAGATTTCCGTTTTGAAAGCAAAAATCTTCTAAGGGTCAATGATATCAAGAGAGCTTAGCATAGCGGGCATAGAGGTTTGATGGGCACAATTGCCTGATCGCTTTATATGCTCTTACAGAAAGACTAAATTTATGTCGATAACGCCGACAAAGAAAGACCCCCCCCAAACAGATAAACAAAGAAACAAAAAAAATTTCCAAAGAAACAATTAATCTAAAATCATATTTGCACGTTCTCTCCAGCATGGAATAAGGAAGAGAGAATCCCTGGAAGGGGGGTCGTTTTGTGGGGTGGCAGAGAATGTAGGTGGGTGGGTTTTCTGATCTGAAGATTAGATCAAAATGATCATTCGCTCCTTCAAGGATTAGACCGCTTAGTGTCCTCATAGTTCTTCTTTTATAACCAGTGACCTTTACTCGAACTCTAAACAGAGGCTAAGTGGTTCAATGAAAGGTATAATTATGTTGATTATGACAATGGCCAGTACCTGTCTTGACGATGTGCACGTAGACCGCTGAGGGCTTGTAGAGGACTGTCATAATGATACAGAGAACGACCTGGTTGGGTATAATACGACAGACATGGTGACACATAGAGTGACCTGATGGGGCATAAGGATGACAGACATGCAGATACAAAACGTACTTAGAACGAACTGGTGGGACATACAGACAACAGCTGCAGCACGATGATGCATAGAGTGACTTGATGGGGCAGAAGGATGACAGACATGATGGTACATAGAGTGACTTGATGGAGCTGAAAGACGACAGACATGCTGATACATAGAGCGAACTGGTTGGACATACAGACGACAGCTGCAGCACATTGTGATGTATAAAGTGACCTGATGGGACAGAAAGACGACAGACATGGTGATACATGGAGAGACCTGATGGGACAGAAAGACGACAGACATGGTGAACCATGGAGAGACCTGATGGGACAGGGCGACAGACAGACATACAAACGACATAATATATTATGGTGATACGTAGAGTTAACCGTGAGGACAGACAGACAGACAGACAGACAGACAGACAGACAGACAGACAGACAGACAGACAGACAGACAGACAGACAGACAGACAGACAGATAGACATGGCGATACCAAGAAAAACTAGAGATACCTATTGAGATAGACAACATATTTACGATCGCACACACACCTATATGCACGCATGCAAGAGCGCGCGCGCACACACAAACACATACACACACACACACACACACACACATACACACATACACACACACACAACGTCCTACAAATACACACCTATGTACACACACGCTCACACACACACACATACGTACATACACACATGCACACAGGCACAGAGACATACACATGCACAAATACAAACATACACACATACACACGTACACAGATACACATTCACACACACACAAACACACACACTCACTCACACACATACACACAAACACACACACACACACACACACACACACACACACACCTGGACTAGTATGAGAATCCAGGCAAACAGTAACTGTGACTTGGGGCTGATGAAGCGGACCTTGGTTGTAGATTTCTTTCCGCCCTGGAAGATTCGGTGGATACGGATTGCCTGCAGAGACACAGGACGTACAATATATTGATGTTGTTGTTATTGTTGTTGACGTTGTTGTTGTTGCTACTGTTGTTGTTGTTGTTGCTACTGTTGTTGTTATTGTTGTTGCTGTTGCTATTGTTGTTGTTGTGTGTGTGTGTGTGGTAGCCTATCAGTTCAAAATGTTTGGAACCCCGAAGAGCACGCTCTTCGCCAGGACACGCCTCTCTTTGGTAGCGGGTGAGGCAGTCCAACCTCCCTGAATTCTCCCCAAAGAGATACCACCGTCGGACCTCTGTTGCGGGGCATCTCTGCAGCCAGTGCTCCAAATCTTGGGGCTCCTCGCTGCACAATGGACAGATTGGGCCCGATGTTTCGTCTATTCTATTTTTGTAGGCCCACAGCCCAGATAAGTGACCGGTCCTTATTTTTGTCAGTAGTGACTGGTCACAGCGGGACTTGATTTGAGCCTCTCGTTTAAAGGAAATTGCCCTGTATATTTCCTTCGTCCGCGTGTGGGATATCGGAGGGTCTTTTGTGATGAGTTTTATCTGGGCGCACGCACTGTCATAATATGTAATTTGGCGGCCTGGACCGGGCAGCGCTGTTGCCAGTTTGGCATTACTCTAAGCGAGATCGTTGCCGAGGATATCGCAGTGACCCGGGATCCACTGAATGGTGTGTTGCATTATTTATGCGTAGTCGATTTTGGTCGAGGGATGGTGATGTTCCCATTAGTGCCATGCATAGCGATTGACTGTCAGTGAAAATAGCGACCGAGCTGGATGCATCGCATTGTTTGTCAATCCAGTCAATGGCCATTTCCAAGGCTCTCCTCTCTTCCTCGAAAGAGCACGTAAAAATGGCCGGCGCCTTTCTCAACAACGGTCGGAGGTGGATATTTTTAGGTCAGTGGGTGGGACGGATCCCCTGTTGTGATGACGACCCCAGCGCCGCCATCCGCTGTTCCTGCACTAGACGAGCCGTCAGTATTGATAATAGTGTACTGTGCGCCAAATTCTCGTGCTCGACGAACAGCAGCGCTTCGGGTCTTCGCACAGGAGTCACTCCTTTAGCTCATGCCGTACAGGTGGGGGAAATCGATGTCGGGGTTGATTCCCCGTTCCCACGGCCTGGTTTCGAAGTAAATGATGGGCCTCTCGTAGTTGAACAGATGTGGGCTCTTTTTGCTGGCGTCTTCGGCCCTTTTTCGGAAATCTCCGCGTCTCTATAGGCGTCTGTGCACTTGTTCCGTTGCCGCCATTCGTTGGGGGTGGTCGTTGTTCATTCGCAGGGCCTCCTCTGTTGATCTGGGGGCAGTTAGCATTGATGGTGGACTCAATGCTTGGGACCCCTGTTTCAGCTCGAAGTGCCTCGATCGGTGATGACTGGGCTTGGGTTGCGATCAGTCGCAGACATCAGCTGTTTTGAATCACCTCCAGATTATAAATCAGAGTTTTGCTCAGCCACGGTTGTCAGCTGCTGCTCGCAAAGTTGAGGAAACTTTGTATATGGGTGAGGTAGACCTTGCGTAGGTCGTCTTTCCTCCATCCCCATTTTGAGTGTGCGACAGCGCCGAGCATCCTTATCTTCTGTGTGGCGTTAGTTATTACTGTCTCAACCTGTTTGCTGTACGTGAGCCTGCAGTCGAGTGTGACTCCCAGGAGTCTTGCATAGGGCTCATATTTAATTGTCGAATTATT